AATTCTTTTTTTAAAACAAAGAATCTCAATTCTAGCTTTTACAAATAATTTGTAATTTAAAATCTGAATTTATCTAAAAAAAAAACTTAAATAATTAAAATTACAATTAAATAATTATTAATTTGAATTCGCATAAGTATGTAACATTTGTTAACAATTACTTAGCAGCGGCTTGGTTTGATATTTCTCTAGCCTAAATTGCAGCTCAAGCGCAGTCGTAAAAAGCTCGCTATTTGAGAACATTGATATAAGAGCAGCAATCAGCTGATAGATTTATATGTATTTGTACAGAGATCCCGTTGATTCGTGTCGGTTCTTTCTCTCCCTCTACACACGCTCGTTCGTTCGCTCCGTGTGTCGGCTTGATATTGCTCATTGGTGGCACCACGATTGAGTGATAGTGTCTTTTAACAGTGGCAGAGGACATTAGTATTTGATTAACATTGAGAGAGGGCAGCCGCATTAACATTGACAGCTCTGTAATTTAACTGTAAATTTACAGACATATACATGTACATTATCATATATAACGGCAGGCAGCACGATAACATAACAGCACTCAGCATAACATTTCTAAAAGTCAACAGACGAAATATTTCCCAATGGCTCAAAAATGTTAATAATATGGTAAAAAAAAGATTTTATTTATAATCATAATAGACTAGTCTTTTGCAAATAGTTTGTAGCAAATAGTTCTTAAATCTATGTATTATTTCTATTATTACATACATTCATAATTATTACTCTAAAGGTTTTCTATTATTACTTCAAGGATGTCTTCTGCAATCGTTTAACTCTGATCATATGCACACATATACCTATCTATACTCATATACCCCATCTATGTTTACTCTTCACATCTAAAGCCCAATAGTCCTTCATAGCGAGTTTACACTGCCCTATGCAATGCACAACTCTGCAGTATTTTTTAATTAGTGCAATTCGTGTCCATTTAAGAATGCGCTGTAGGATTGTTGGTTTCGATTGCCAAACAGTACGAGATACCCAGCTGCCTACGTTTCGGTTACTATGGTGGGCGGTGGGTCTGCGGGGATTTGCTGCACGTCTGTCAATCGATGGAGCTGTTGTTCGATTTCGTTTTCAATTTCGCTTTTGTTTTGTTTGTGGGGCGGAATCGTGACAGTCGCAGCGACTGGAGCCGCGAGCTGACCTATAAATCATCTAATGGCCGTAGCGTTTGGTTTAGTTTGGTTTTGGTTTTGGTTTTCAACTGAGGCTGCGCCCCACCCCCCCAAATCAGCAGTCAACAGCCAACACCCACCACGTGTCCACACATGTGTCAATATTTGTGCGAAATGCGGCTGCAGCCACACCGATACGAAACACTCTCCATCATTCTTGGCATAGCGGACGGGGCTTCGATTCTTCTTTTTCTTTTTTTTTTTTCTTTTGGTTTTTGTTGGTGCGCTCGCAACGGTTTTATTTTTGACATTTTTGCAGCAATGCAAGTCTGTCTGCGCGTTCGTCTGTCTATCCGTCCATCTGTCTGTGTGTGTGTGTGTGCCGAGGAAGTCGGGGAAGACATGCTTTTAGTTGTTTAAATTTGAGTTGCATCGTGTGGTCCATACAAATAAAACAAAAGCGTATATATCAAATCGCTCCCCGGACACTTTGGCACTGCTCTTTCTATATTCATTCATGAAAGTGAAATGAGTATATTGGTTTTGTGCAATGTCCGTTTTATTGATAATCCGTGTGTTCACCTAACCGTAGAGACTCGACATTTGACACACATAATCGCACAATCGGGGGCGTGGCAAAACGATAAATGGATCTGACATCAATTGGCTCACGAATGAGCATTTTGCAGTTAATAATGCCCGGTTGCAATGTTTTTACTTGTTTTTCTTTTCGATTTTGGCAAATTTCCTACTGAATATTTCAACTATTTCCGCTTGGTAGAAGTCATCTATTGGCTTTTTGCTTAATTTCCGTTTTTTCCTCGTTTTATTTTTTCAGTTATCTATGTATATATACATATATTTTTTTTTTTCGTTTTCATCTTTGGAGTGCTCCACATATGGACAGCCAACTGGACATCTGCTTTACAGTTCATTTGTCATCGAATTGAATTTTACTTGTCAGTTCCCAGTTTTCTTTTCCACTTCTGACGGGCAGCAGTAGTATACATGGCGTATGCGCAACTTATTTGCCGTCTGTCATAGATACGGGAAGGAAGAATAAAAAAATGAAATTAAATGCAACCGAGTGTGAAATTGCCAAGAGCCATAAAGGAGTTACTAAACGATTCTGATATGCAACTGAGGCAAGCACTGGCCAATGGTGAAATATGAGCAAAACATGAAATTTATTTATCATTTTGACTTCGTTTCGAAGCGGTTGTAAACTAGCATCAATAAAACGTGCTTGATTGGAGGCACTGAACGAGAGGAACGTATATAGCCAATGTTTTCTATCAACAATATTCAATGGCTACATACATTTTTTATTGAAATTTATATTTTTTGCTATAAATATGGGTATATGCATTCCTATAAACTAAAAAGCAGACTATAAAAAATTAAATTCAGCTTGAGGGGAAAAAATTGAGAATGTCTAACTTAGCCTAATAAAAATAAAAATATTTTAGAGTTAATAGTGATTAAAAAAATTAATTAAAATTTTAACAGAGTATTTCTCAGTCGCTCAAGCTCGCACTTAATATTATATGTTTTTAAATTCTCAATGAGTCAAATAAAAATTAAAAACATTCATTTAAACTTTAAGCCCCAGGGCAGAGTTCGTAGCGCATAGCGGTGCGGCTAGTCCCAAAGAAGAGCTCAAATTTTGGCCTGGAGGCTGCGGTGGGTCCCAAAATAGCCATAAATTTAAGCGTTAAAAAAACAGACGTTAAAACGCAATACCAAGGAAAAAATTGCACAAAAGAAGAGAGTATAAGAACAAGTGAAACAGAGACAGAGAGAAAGTGAACGAGAAAGAGAAAGAGTAAGGGAGCAAAAAATGCCTCACAGAACTTGCGCCCAAGTTATGCCCGAGGAATTGTGCTTAATTTACTTTTGCTTCCCTTTCGCAGGATCCTCGCTTCCTTTTTACTTTTTTCCCCTATTTCTTTTCCTTTTTGTGGCTTCCTGCTGCGGGCCTAATGACACTTTAAAAAATGTCATTTATTTGTATAATAAAAATATGCATTAGCTGAGGCTTAATATAATTAATTTGTAAAAAAATAGCCAAACATTTAATTTGCGTTCGGCTAGGGTATTTCGCTTGCCTGAAGTGTGTATGCCCACAAGGCATGCGCATGCCACAATTGATGCTTAAATATATTGTTTTTCATCTATATGAAGAAGCTGCAGTTTGGCTTGGCATGCTGCTGCATAGCTGCCCCATCCACGTAACATCTTTATACGCAGCAAAATGATGTTGCTAAAGTGCAAATGGTAAGTGGCAGCATCCCATGATGTTGCCTTTGTCGACGACGAGGGCGAGCGCGGGGGCACGGCAAAGCTGCGGACCCTCAGCAAAAACATTGCCTTTTGTTTAACGCATGCATTAAAATAAACAAACAGCAAGCTATCTTAATAACGAATCGTTGATACTCTATAGGCAAATATTTTAATGCGAAATTACATCTGAGGTAAACTCTGGAATTTTGATGGAAGTAATTGATTCTCAGAAGGGACTTAAATTATTAAACATTTTTCAAGTTTTTGAATTGCATATTAACTAAGTTAATTTTATAAAATTAAAGTTTAATTTAAAATGTTATTCATGCATAACTCTTAGGCAAAGAAGAGTATGCTAAGGCTCATACAGATATCGCTGCATATAGCCGTTCGCATAACAGCCCACACACACTCACACACATTTACCAGCAACAGCCGTGGGTGTAGTTGCCAGAGTATCCGGAGCGTCGACAGCGCAGCGGCAACAGCAACAGCAGCAGCATCAGCAGCAGCAGCAGCAGCAGCAGCGCGAGGCATTAAGCACGTCGGCAACATAAATATTTTAATTTTGCTAAAAATTTTGTGCTGAAAAGTCGCTTTTTTGCATTAGGAAGGAGGTGTGAGGCGAAGACACATGAACGCACGCACACACACACGCATACACAGCATTAACTAAACAAAATGGCGTCGACGAAAGGATGCGCATCGCAGCGCAGCGTAGCTGATTGTTGTTGTGGGCTGCCTGCTTGCTTGCCATGGCGATGCTTGTAATGATAAGCGTTGTTAGTGTTTTGCTTTAATAGGCAAAATTATGTGCATACCCACACACACACACACAAACACACACACACGTACACAGACACACATACTATGGCTTTGACTCAAACACGGCTCAAAGGCATAAATTATTGCGGTTAACAGACAGCAGACAGAGCAGGACACATAGCACTAACAGGAACAATAACAACAACAACAAGAACAGCAGCAGCCGTTGCAGTAGCTGAATGGCCACTGGCTGCGCCGAGCTTTGGCCAAATTAAAATATTGTCGGCCTGGCCTATATGCAACATAATGAGGCAAATGTAACTAAGACCCTGTATACCCTAGACTGCATGCTGTGCGCAAGGTAGTTGTGCTAAGAAAAGCTAAATGTTCTTTGAAAATACTTTTAATTAATTTTATGTTATATTTAATATTTAATATTTGCTTATAAATTGTAACTTTGGATTTTTATTGTTAGTTTATTGAAGAATAGCTGGTTTTATTTTTTTATAATTCGATTATTCTTTTTTTTTTTTTTTTTTACTTTATTCAGTTTCTTAAAGTATTTTATTAGCTTTTTAAGAACTATAACTGTGACTTAATTTTTTATATGTATATATTTATTAAAAGAGTAATATTTTGTTTTCTATTATTATTAGTTTATTTAAGAATTTTGAGTTATTTGTTTCTATTCGCTATTTATTTCCAATTCTATTATTCTGCTATTTTAATTCATTTAAGAAGCTCATTTATTATTATATTTGATATTTATTATTCATTTTTTGTGCTCCGAAATTTGAAAACAATTTACAATAAAACTAATGAATTGTTGAATAGTTTATTGATTATTTTTACAATTTGACCGGAACTATTTGCCAAATTAAACTAAAGACTTTACTCATAAACGCATAGACAACCATTTGTCTTAGATATGCTATTATAGTACCCACAGCCAAGATCCGAAATAGTTGTAAATTTTTTGCGTATAAGCATTGGTTTTCCCACCGTTTAATTTGATGTCCGAAGTGTTATTGTTGTACCTATATCGAGTTATAATTGGTTAGCGATATATAATTGTATATCATTAGTGAGTAATACTAACATTAACTTGCAAGTATGTGTCGAATGTCCTGTATATGTGTTTGCCATCTTGTTCAATTGTCCTCTCTCTCCCGTTATTATGTTGTTCATGAACTGAACTCTATTGGATCTGTTCACTGAGTCGAACCGCGTCTTTGGGCAACAGCCTTGAATATAGCATATAAAATACCTATGCTGATAGCTAGTATTATAAGACTCTTAAAGAATCCACTCAATAGGGTATAATCTTGATCGTGGAAATTTAACGAACAGCAGCCCGACTGATGTGGACATTGAGATTGAGCTCGCTTGTATGGACATGCGCTTGATTGATGCTCACAGTGTAGCTGATGGTTAGAGAACAAAAACTTCATTGCCTTTAGCGGTAGGTCCCGGATTACACTAAATATAGACGGCGTCGAAAAACACTCCGGATATTCCTTTCTTAAATAATTCTCACAAGTTCGGCCATTCGGTGACATTTTACAAACCAAATTTAGCACTTGTTTATAAGGATGCTTCCAAGACATGCTTGCCAAAACTAAGAAAAATCTTTAAATAACGAATCGTTATTCGTTCAAATAAAATTTTCAATTCTCTAGTAGACTGCCACTAACAACAATTCCAAATCTATCTGCAGTTAATATTTCGTTCGACTCTCTACAACTTTGACTTTAGAGTATTTGTTAACTTTGTTTCCTTGTTTGCTTTCATCCCATATCAGAGTGAACGAATGATTATTGATGTTTCAAACCATTCAATTATTTTGTCTAACATTTTCCAATTCATTTTCGAGAATTTGACATAATCTGTAGGCCCTTATTCTAATTCTTATGCGTTTATTCTGACATATGTAAAGAGGGCATCAGTTATTAATATTATTTAGATTTTTCATTTTTTAATTATCTTTACCTTCTTTTTTTTAATTTAGTGTATTTATTTTTTGATCTATTTATATTAATATTACTTTCTACTTCTAGGTAATAATTTTTGTCGGTGCTCAAACGTCTTAGCAATTATCATTTGCTACGCATATCATCTTATAAGAATCCCATTTATCCAAATGAAATTATTTAGACACTTTAATCTTGAATTTGTGACGTCAGATACGCGTGTTTCATTTAAAATGTCAGAGGCTAGAAAAACTTGTATCTGGTAACACTGATCTGATAAGTAAACTTTGCAAAAAATAATCGATAACAAATACTGGTAAATATTATCGGAATTTTGTGCCCAAAATATGGCAATCATGTAAATGAAAGTTGCCTTTAATATTTCAAGTAGTAGGCGATGCGAATGCAGGCGAAAAGTAGCTGAGATCTAAAATCGTCAGTCGAGCTCTTCAATCGGTCAAGCTTGTGCAAATTAATTTAATTTTGTGTGTTTTTATTCTGAAAATGGAAAATACCGTAGTTTTGGATGATGTGGTGCTAAATCCATTGGCTAATGCCAATGGCAAGCGCAATGCAGAGGACCACCCTGCTGAAGTCAACAGCCTCGAGTCTGCCCCAAAGAAGCCAAGAGTTCGCAAAGCTAATTCTCAGCGCTGGAACGAAAAGGAGGTGAGTCTGGGCTTTCGCATATTAAGTTTTATTTACTACACATTTATATACTATAATTTATACAAATTATTATTACTATAAATTTATATGAACATATATTTAATATTTGTATTCGAATTTTTGTTGTTTAAATTACATATATTATATTCCCATTTTTTTAAAGTCTGCTTTTTCTACATAATATAGATGCAACATCGATTCTTTATATTACATATAATCTAATCTAATATAATATAACCTAAATCTATATACATCCATTCTTAACTACAGAATTCAAAGGAGCCTGTAGTGATAGTTGACGATCTTCCTGACCAAGGTCAGCAAGAGGCTGAGCGTGAAAATCAATCAAAAATGTTTCGTGCTCGTGTTGCTGGCAATGTTGGCGCTCAAGCTGAACAGCGCCTTGGATCGCGCATTGTATCCCGTCGTGAATCGTGTTGTGGAGGTGGCTATGGCGGTGGTGGCGGAGGTGGAGGTCATGGTGCTGGTGGTGAGGGCGGTGGTCATTATTCATACGGAGGCGGTGGCGGTGGTGGTGTTGGTGGATCCAACAACCACAAAAATCATCAGCAGCGTTCTGAGGAGTTTATGATAGCGCAGCGCCTGCGCAACATGAGTGGCCCAACTCTGGATCTGGATCAAGTCGATGATGGGGAGGAAATTAAGTTCTCGGGACGCAATCGTCTGTATGTAGGCAATTTAGCCGGTGAATTGCAAAGTGAGAAGGGGTTGCGTGAATTGTTCGAGCCTTACGGCAAATTGGGCGATATCTACATTGGTCCAGATAAAAAGTTTGCCTTCGTTAAGGTCGAATATCATGCCAATGCCGAGAAGGCCAAGCGTGCCTTGGATGGCACCACGGCTGCGGGGCGAGTGCTGCGTGTCCGTTTCGCAGGTAATACAGCGATACGTGTCAGCAATCTGACTCCCTTCGTCTCCAATGAGCTGCTCTACAAGGCATTCGAGGTCTTCGGGCCAGTGGAGCGGGCAACCATTACGGTCGATGACCGTGGCAATCATATGGGCGAGGGAACTGTGGAGTTTTCCAAGAAGTCGTCGGCGAACATATGCCTGCGCATGTGTCAGGAGAAGTGCTTCTTCCTAACTGCTGCGCTGCGTCCGTGCATCGTAGAGCCCAAGGAGATCATTGATGAGGACGGATTTCCCGAGAAGTCCATGAGCAAGACTAGCCAGTTCAACAAGGAGCGCAGCTTCGGGCCACGTTTCGCTGATCCAAATTCATTCGATCATGAATACGGCTCCCGATGGAAGCAGCTGCATCAAATGTACAAACTCAAAAGCGCAGCTCTCAAGCGCGAAATGAAGCTGGAGGAGGAAAAGCTAGAGGAACAAATTGAGTTAATTCGCTATGAGAGAGAGACTCAGCTCTTGCGTCAAGGTTGGCATCAAAACACCTAAATATCACAATCAAATTATAATAATCCGTATTGTGAAACATTTGCAGAGCTTCAGAAACGTGAAGCTGACAAGGAACGCTTGAAAATGGAGTGGGAAATGCGTCAGAAGCAATTAATGGAGAAGGACCTGTTCGAGGAGGAGCGCCTTCAGAGCTTCCAGCTGCGTCAGGAGGTTCCGCTGAGACGTCGTCCGCTGGAGAGGCCCGTTTATAGATCCAATCAGCCGATGGGCTTTATCGGTGGCTGTGACTATGCTAACAGAGACGTGGAAATGGAAAGCAAACCGTTTGTGGTGTTTGGAGGTGAATTGTTTTAACCTAATATATTTATCAAATACTTTATCTAATATCATATTTGATATCAAATAGATGCACCAAATAATAATGATATCGGAACAGCTGGAATTAATCAGGTATTTAAAGTGATTTATAGATAACTCTAGTTTCAATATTACTCAGTTATGCCTATGCATTAATATAATATGAATATATTTGTATATATAATATTATAATATTATATGTATATATTTTTACACGATTCCAATTTAGACTGGCAACTTTGGCAACAATTTTGACGAGAAGAATCTTAATATGATTGAAGGCAATGAGAATATTAACGATAATCCGCCATGGTGCCGACGCTAGATTTAATCGTTGGAGTCTATTTCAAAAAATGATTGGCAAATGAAAAGAAAAACATAGAAAAACAAATACAAAAGCAAATGTACAAGAATTGTCATATTGAGCACTTAATAAAGACAAACAATTATTCATGAGATAGTCCGATAGCTGTCTTTATATATAATAGTATATGAGAGTAGTGCAATACTATTATATATATTTTATTTTGTTTATATATGCTTCCAATATTATATATGTACATATGTATTATCTCAAATATTTATGTCTAAACTTGATTGCTCGAACTCTAGGCTATCTCAGTTATATATTTATACCTAGCTCCATTCTGTAGTCTATATAGTCATATAAAGCTGAGCAATTTCTCGATTGTATCATTTGATTTACAGGTTTGTTCACACGCTGCACACATGTCGTGCTATCAATGGCAGACAGCCGCCAAGAGCACACTTGACAACGAGTTGATTGACAGACAAGCTGTCGACAGACTGGGAGACTGGGAGACGGACGAACTGACAAACTGACTAGACAGACAGGCATAAGCCCTCAAGTGCATTTGCCGTCTGTTTCGCATTCAATCTCGCATTCATCAATCTGCATAGTAAATTCAGTTTTTATACCCTGAACCCATTTTCAATGGGAAATCAGGGTATAATGGTTTTGTTGAAATGTATGTAACAGGCAGAAGGAGGCGTGGCAGACCCCACAAAGTATATATATTCTTGATCAGGGCGACGAGCTGAGTTGATTTGGCCCTGTCCGTCTGTCTGTCCGTCTGTCCGTCCGTCCGTCTGTCCGTCTGTCCGTATGTATGAACGCGTCGATTTCAGAAGATATAAGAGCTAGAGACTTCAAATTTTTTTAAAATGTTCGTAATTACAGCGCGCATATCAAGTTTATCATTAAAAATCGATAACTCATCCCGATCTTTTTTTATCGATAAAAAACCTTATCGAAAACCAGTTATAAAATTATATCTTCTACACCTTTATTGCTAGAGTCTCCAAAATTTTAATGTATGCCTATATGCAATTTATACAATTTCGGTTTTTGTTAAAATTTACCCCCACCCTTAAATTCACCCCCTCACCCTCACTTTTGTAAAAAGCGTATTTCAAATACTAGAGACTTGTGCTTTGGCAATGACATGCATATCCATGTCATAATCATAATCTGAAAGTTTCATGAAGATCGTACGTCCACAAAAAAGTTATTAAGCAATTAAGTTCTCATAGTAAGCGCTCACTGCCGCCCATGCGTGTTTATGCTTGTGTGTGTGTATATGTATGTAATTGTTTGTGTATGTGTGTGTGTGTGTATGTGTGTATGTATGTGTGTGTATGTATGCCTGTGTGTGCGTGCGTGCGTGCGTGTGTGTGTGTGTGTGTGTGTGCGTGTTTCTTGTGTAAGCTGAAAGACGCGAAAAATTATTGAAATAGCTATTACTCCAAGGGTTCAGGGGATCTCGTAGTCGAGTAGTCTCGACTAGAGCTTTCTTACTTGTTTTTTTATACCCTGAACCCATTTTCAATGGGAAATCAGGGTATAATGGTTTTGTTGAAATGTATGTAACAGGGAGAAGGAGGCGTGGCAGACCCCACAAAGTATATATATTCTTGATCAGGGTGACGAGCTGAGTTGATTTGGCCCTGTCCGTCTGTCTGTCCGTCTGTCCGTCTGTCCGTCTGTCCGTCTGTCCGTATGTATGAACGCGTCGATTTCAGAAGATATAAGAGCTAGAGACTTCAAATTTTTTTTTAAATGTCCGTAATTACAGCGCGCATATCAAGTTTATCATTAAAAATCGATAACTCATCTCGATCTTTTTTTATCGATAAAAAACTTTATCGAAACCCAGTTATAAAATTATATCTTCTACACCTTTATTGCTAGAGTCTCCAAATTTTTAATGTATGCTTATATGCAATTTATACAATTTCGATTTTTGTTAAAATTTACCCCCCACCTCTAAATTCACCCCCTCACCCTCACTTTTGTAATAAGCGTATTTCAAATACTAGAGACTTGTGCTTTGGCAATTACATGCATATTTATGTTATAATTATAATCTGAAAGTGTCATGAAGATCGTACGTCCATAAAAAAAGTTATTAAACAATTAAGTTCTCATAGTAAGCGCACACTGCAGCCCATGCGTGTTTATGCGTGGTTGCTTGTGTGTGTATGTGTTTGTGTATGTGTGTGTGTATGTGTGTGTGTGTATGCGTTTGTGTATTTATGCGTGTGTGTGTGTATGTGTGTCTGTATGCGTGTGTATGCCTGTGTGTGCGTACGTGCGTGTGTGTGTGTGTGTGTGCGTGTTTCTTGTGTAAACTGAAAGTCGCGAAAAATTATTGAAATATCTATTGCTCCAAGGGTTCAGGGGATCTCGTAGTCGAGCAGTCTCGACTAGAGCTTTCTTACTTGTTTTTTATTTGATTGGAGAAGATTTAAATTTGAAACGAAAAAAATGTTTTATTTCAAATTTATTGGTTTGCACTTTTTATTTGCTGTGTGGGCTAGAAGTATGCAAATGTTTTAGTTAGTTTTATTTTACCGCAGCGAAAACATTGCAACAGTTAGAGGAATTACATAATTAAGCGCATTATATCATTTGCCACGCAATTAGTGTTGCGGCCATATATTATGTTGAGCGGTTGTAAAGTATTTTGTATTTAGTAATTATTTTTGTTTTACAAATTTAACTTTTGCAATTTAACTGCTAAATAGATTAGTTACAGCGAGAGTAGGTAATGACTGAATTTTGATGGGGTATGGCCTAGGATAGGAATATATAGTGAATAATACAAAATTTAATTATACATATACTCGTTATTTTTTACTGCACCAATTTAATAAAGTCCTTATGATTTTAATTTTTTTTGTAAATTACAGAAGTTTTACTTTATTTATTTCTTTTTAATGCTATATATACATCGCATACAATTTAGTTTTTATTTAAAAATAATGTATATTTTATTATAATACATTTTCAATAATTTTTTTAATAGTATTATTATTATTATTTATTTTTTTTTTTATTTATTTATTTTTTTTTTTTTTTTTGTTAAATTACATAAACTCTGTCTCTGTAATAGATATAAGTTTAAATTTCTATTTTCTTCTGAAACTTTTTCAAAGATATTTACAATTTATTTCCCTTGTAATGTTCTCGGTGTAAATAGAATTTAGTTTTATATCTATCGAAATTAAATAAGCTTAATATATCTAATTTCATTTTCCTGATTTTGTATGTTGTTTGCAGCTTTTATTTAGAGTTCTGTTTGAATTGGTAATTTGATTAGAGCATATTTAAGAGTTGCATAAATTTATTATAAATTGCAATGAGTCACAACGGCTGTTGGCCACACAACGCACTTTCCTCCACTTGTACCACATTGCGTATGTTTAATGAGCGCACAGTTGAAACCTTGAAATGCACTTAAAATTCTTGGCTTTAGCATTTTGACACCGATTTTGGTTTTTGTTATCGACTTGTTTGGCTTGTTGTACCTGTGTGTGTATATGTGTATGTGTGTTCCGTTTGTAAATGTAAAAATTGGCACACGTGCTGCACTCTGCATTCTGCATTCTGCGGTTTTCTAAATAACTCGCCAGCCGCATTTGTTGGGTTTACAGTTCTGCAGAGAACACCGCCCCGGCTATTTCTATGGCTGCCCTCTAATCACATGACCCACATATTGGCTTTGAGCTCCGGTCAAGCTTCAATTTGTTTTCACTATTTTCTAGCTGTTCAGATATCAACACAGCGCACTTTCAGCACATTTGTGCCGTCATTTGAATTTCCTCATTTTACACATTTTTCTTGTAACCTTCAGATGGCTTTTATTTAATAGTTTATTTATTTGAAATTATATACATATATGTATATGTATATTTAATTTTTACTTCTCATTCAGACAAAATATTAAGTAAACTTGTATTTTCATACCCAAATATTATGAAACTTTTTGTACAATTGCGCTGCATAAATATTTCCAATTACCTTTCCGATAAAAAACAATCGCTTGTCAATATTTGTGCCCCACAGCAAAGCCCTCTCTGCTGCCATGTGCACCTATAAGTTTGCACATTTAATTGCCAGCTCAACTCACACGGCGTGAAAACAATTTTTACTTTTCTTTCTGAAGCTGGCAAAAATCAAAATGCTTTAAGTACAAGCTAAACAAATTTGACACAAATTGCATACATACTAAATATATTCTTTATACACAACTGAATATTCACACCTGTTTCAAAATTATGAAATTTAATATTAAGAAATTTTTAAGAGCATTAAGTTTAGGCTAAAAAGAACATTTTTATATTTATATAAATAATTATACACGTCAGATATCAGAAATAGAGCTCAATCCTTTCAATTCCAGCTGCGCTACGGTATTTTTTCCATGTATTGCTATATTCCCACTTAATTAAATCTTTTATATATATTCTCCATTCGCCAAGCAGCCAGCTTTAGAGCAGAGCAAACTGAAAACCAAACGTAGAAAATGAGAATGAAAATTAAAGGCAAAAAAGTGTGCATGGAAACATCGATTATACAGAACAAGAAACGGGAACACACGCACACAAAAGCAGCAGCTGTGCGTGTGTGTATGTGTGCCTGTGTGTGTGTGTGTGTGTGCTGTGCGTTTGTATATTTAGTAAACGCATCGTTTCACATTGTTTCTTGTTATTATAATTGGTTTAACACAATGGGAGAGTGAGCATATTAGTTTATAGATACCTAAATTCGGCATTTGAATTATTTACTGATAAGAGAATATAAGATGGGATATAAGAAAATGATATAATAATAAATGCATTAAGAAATGAAGCGCAAAAACATTTTTAAAAAATAATTGCTGGCATTTCTTAGAGTGTATTGAGTAGTCAATGCTAATTAAATGCATTTTTTATGAAGTTTTGTAAGCTTCGATTCACTAAGACAATATATCTATGTATATATATGTATGTAGATTAAAGTACATTTATACAAGAAAAATTGTGATACTCTAATATAATATCCTTGTAATGGAATTAATCGTTTCTATACATTGCTTATATTTTTTACGCTTAATTGATTACAAATATTTAAAAAAAAAAATATTTATTTAATGTTGTTCTTTAGAAAATGTCATATTTAAACAATATGCAACTGTCACTTCAGTAAGGATATTTCTATGTTTCACAAACACATCAAAGTCTACTTTACCTTTTGTACATATACAAATATGTATAAACCTATATATATATATATATATATATTTTTTTTTTTTTTTGCTACCTGTTTTATGGTTTTCGGTGTGAGCACAGCACAAGCTGCATAAAATGTTGGCAGCCTCTGGGGCACGCCGAATTGTGGCAGCGACAACAACAACGACAACAACAAAGGCAACACAGAAAAGCTTTAGGCAACCAAAAATAAAGCTAAATTAAATTTGTGGCTTCTGAGTGTGAGTGTTGCTCGAGCTGCTGCTGCTAATTAATGCAAGAGTCAACAATTGTGCAACGGTGGCAGTACTGAAGGTGCGTTGCAGTGGGCGTGGCTGGGCACGTTGCAAGCTGCCAGCTGCTGTGCACAGCACACAAAACTTTAGCTAAAGTTACTTTGTAAAAGCTTTGTTTCAATATGCCGTCTGAAGGTTTCATAATTTTTTGTCACTAAATTTATAGAAAGCAGTGTGAAGAGTGTGAGAGGAATGCCTTGAAGGCAGGTATATATATATATGTATATATATGTTTCTTTTTGTATTTCCAATTAAAATAATTTAAGCCCTACAGCTGTGTCAACTAGGCAAAAGGTGCATAAGGAAAAAGTTATACAGTTGCTGCCCTGAAGCAGTGCATATATGAACTTGACAGCTTGAACTCTTGATAATAATTTAAAGAGGTTTCTCAGTCACATATCTAAGAGCTCTGCTTCTCTTGGCGAGCTGACGTAATTCAAATTGTGGGCGTGGCTATATCCGGCCTGCTGTTTATTGATCCATCACAGTCTAAATACCAATACCATCCAAGGCAGTTGAAGTTGATGCTCTTGTGGTTAGACGGAGAGAGAGGGGGGGAGGTGGGCTTTTAAGTGCCCAACAATTGATGTGCTGCAGTAAATTGGTTACAAAGTCAAATGAGGTTGCCCAGGTGCAGGTGCGCAGCAGCGGTTGCTCAAAGCCAATTGACACATGTTGCAGGCACGGAATACTTGACTCTGCCAGGACATTGAGTCGTCCGTTTGCGGTGCAAAGTGTCATTACACAGCTGCCCCCTCCAAGCCTCCATGGCCCCCCACGACATGCTACGCCGACTTGAACCTCTCAGGTTTCAATGCGCCCAAGCCCTGTCTGTGTCTTTGGCACTTATATCATTCTGTCAGTTTGTCCGTTTGCGTTTTAATTAACTTACATCAGCTTAATGAACTTTCTCAACTGAGTGTGCGTGAGTGTGTGTGTGTGTGAGTATGTGGCAACTATGCCATTAGCTTTGGCAAGGCCTTAAGTTTCTGCCTAATTGACAGACATGCTAACTGGGCCTTACTGTTTGCTTTGAATTATTATTTGCCAGATCTTTACTTTTATAATAATCTATACTTTAGCCTACAACTTGACATATTACATACATTAAAATACATGTATATTTGTATATGCTGCGAATTTACTTTACACTTAAAGAGAGTCGTGCATGCCCAATTTATAAAATCTGCAGCCAGCAATGGTGAAAACAATTTGAACAACTGAAATCGAAAGAGAAATGGATAATTAATTGAAAATCAAATGCAATTCAAATATGTGAACTTACTTGGCAGATATACGAGGTATACATAAAACACAGGCATTATGCAGCTACTAATGAGGCCAAAAATGAACATATGGCGTTCTTGCTGATCAAAATGAGGATGAAGAAGTTTAATTTACTAAATAAATGCATTCAAGTATTTGTAATTGATTTACATATATTAGTGATATAAACATCATAATACCAGAAATAAGATGTACCACAAGTACTATAAGCAATGGCCATTTGAATTCTTCTTGAAAGTCTTAAGGTAAAGCAAAAAAATAAATAAATAAGTAATAATAATTATAAATCAAGTCTAATTAAATTATTTAGCATTTTAGCACTTACGGAAGGGATATAAAAATAGCGCCAATATTCCTATAATTGCATGTAAAATTGTCCAAAAGACAAGAAATTGAACTTTCACCTGAAGAGGACAGGAGCAATGATCCAAGCACGCACAGGCCTGACAAAGGCACATGGTGGAACAAATTCGATATTGTTAAAAGTCAACTTTAAAATTTAAAATATTTTAGTTATTTAATTAAATAATATCTGAGTAGTATTAGAAATCAAATGATTCATAAATTGAATTTTTTTCATCTATATACTATACTATTTACTATGACAACTTTTCCCTAAGCTCAAAATTAAATTTTGATTTTATTTTATTTTATTTTTTTCCTTTGTTCAATTTTGAGAGATCATTCATGTGCTATTTTTCGGACTATCAGTATTTTACAAAATATGGAATATTTATATATTTTCAATCAATAAGAACTCATTTCCTCACTTTCCTCTTGTTATTATTATCTTTGCAAAGATGTGTATGCTCATGCTTGAACTTATATGTATATAAGTTCTAAGGCTCAGTAATTTAAGCCATTTCCCGGAAGACTGTATAAGCTAATCTCTCAGAGTTAATGGCAAGTGCATTTCAAAAACAAGCAATGCTCTACAACTCATACACATACATACATATATATTTGTATATGTATAATTAGAACTTTTTTTTTAGGTTAATCTTTCGCACAGAGTGCAACATAAATTAAAACGTCATTAACTTTTGCGCTTGCCACAGTTTGTTCCCAGTTTGTTTCAGTTCCTGCTTTCCATTTCTCGCAGCCCAAAATGCCACAAGTTAACTTATTTTTATACCCTAAGCCCATTGAAAATGGGAAATCAGGGTATAATGGTTTTGCCAAGAGTATGTAACAGGCTGAAGGAGGTGTGGCAGACCCCACAAAGTATATATAATCTTGATCAGGGCGACGAGCTGAGTCGATTTAGCCCTGTTCGTCTGTCTGTCCGTCCGTCCATAGATATAAGAGCTAGAGACACGAAGGATATTGTGAAATATCAATTCTTCGAAGGGTTCAGGGGATTTCGAAGTCGAGCAGTCTCGACTAGAGCTTTCTTACTTGTTTTTTTTTTTAATGCAACCAAAGTTTCACACAAATTCATTAAGAGTAACAATAAATATTAAAAAAAAAAAAACGTTTGTTGGCTACAACACTTCAAATGGAAACGAAAAATTCTTCAAATTCGGACTTAAATCAGAAACAGCAAATATGCGAATGATGCAGATGATTGTGACTGACTGCGTAACGCTCTGTCGAGAATTGATATATGAGAAAGAAAATTTAAGAACCTTAAACACGTGGTATTAATAATTAAAAAAAAAAAAGTCATTCAGTATAGATACTTGATTTTAATCTGTCTTGCTGTCCTTAATTGTCTTGAAATTCTCTCCATGCTCTCACTTCTCTATAAAATTGACATGAGAAATTCTTCTAGGGCTTACCTAAAGCTCAACTTTATCTTATACCTAGCATGTTCCTCTTTACATAAGCATGTATATTTTATGATTATTATTTCTTTTTAAGCTTAACAGAAACGGTCTGGTATTTTCTGCTTTGCAGTAGGTAGAACTCATTAAAAATGTTGACGGCAGCAAACAAATGGAATTACCAACCCACGCAGTGAGAGTCTCGTTTGAGCATAACAAGGTGAGAGTAAGAGAGTGGAGCGTGCCCTGAGTTATAAATGGTTGCTGGCTGCTGTGCTTGAAGCTGTCAAAGATTCTATTTGCCCACCTTTGGCGCATGCAGGCCCCAGCGACTGGGCAGGAAATTAAAAACACGGCTGAAAGCATCATTTACTTGACCAACTGCTGGGAGCGGGCAGAAGTCAGTGAATAGTGCAAGGCTGCTGTTGGGATATTGGTGACAGTCAGAAGCCTGGCAAAAGGGAAAATTGATATACAAATGGGTTAACAGTGCAAGGCTATCGAGCTGTAGCCTTGGCAGCTATCCGGCGTATTGCAAACTGCAAATGGAAACACGTGAAAAAAAAGTATTCGGATTTATGGGGAAAAAGCACGGGTTGCAAATAGATGAGCCCAAGAGCACAAGCTCAAAGGTTGAAATGCTTCATAAGCCGCGAACAGCGCGAGCTTTTCAACACACACACACACACACAGATAAAGACGCACGATACATAAAACACACATTACGCATACGCCATGTGCGACTAATTGCCTCGCTGAGCTCTTCGGTTAGCATATCGCATATATATTCGTTCAGCTGATTGAGCTGTGTGATTTAAATAAGAAGGATGTCATTAGCCCGTGCTCAGCATGACAGCCTGATTAGTTATTTATATGCTCACATTCGCATTAGCTGTGCGGCCAGCCATTAATCGTTAAATGGATTAGACGCCTCCGCCTTCTCAACATTGTTTTCTTGTGCGAGAGCAATCTGTGGGCATATTTAACGATTGCAGCTGTTGCATGTTAAAGCAGAGATTACATGCTCTATAGATATATAACATACACTTACCTGACTGTAATGGGTTTTGACTATCAACTTTTCAGTCTCTATTCTGCAATCGTTTAGCTCGACTTTAAAGTTTCTCCGAATTCGAATTCCCCAAATGTCAATAAATGCTTTTGGTTTTGTGTTATTTTTTTATGCTGAGGCTAACCAGATCATTTGCCATCCAGCTGTGATTAGCGTACTGCATTTTTGTGTTGTTATTGCGGCTGTTGGTGGTTGTGGTCCACGTGGTTTCGCTGTGGCTGTGGCTGTGGCTGCGCTGTTAGTTGTTTCGTGGCCAACACTCAATTCAAACAGCGACAGTTGTTGGCTAATCAGCACGGGGATGTCATCAATCAGTCAGCAAATGGGAACACGGAAAACCAATCTTACGGCCGTGCAGTGTGGAGTGTGGGCCTCTCGGCAATGATCTACAGCTACACGCAAAGCTAATTGGCACCGACGAGAGTGTCCAATTAAGGGAGTTGCTCTTGACCAGATGGCGATTGGCTCTGCCTTTGGCTTTTGCATGCAAAGTGCATTTAAATAGAAATTAAAAAAAAAAAAAAAAATACAAAATATAAATCCAAATGGTGATAAAAGCAAACATGCAATTCGTATAGCTCTATGCCGTCGTTTAGAGTTAGATTTTGGTTGAGAAGTGATTATTTTTAATTTTAATTTCTTTGTTTTTTTTTTTTTTTTTTGCTAATAGTTTTTTAAGCCCCCTTTTCAATTTTCACAGTCCCCCGTCTTCATTTCTGAGAATATTTCGTTTTTGAAATTATGATGAATATAAGCTGCAAAGAGTAAGGTGTAACAATTAAAAAAAAATATATTAAAATTTAACAATAATGATATTGGCACTGATAAAAAAATTCGTAAATAAAAAAATATATGTACATATTATTTTTAACTGTTAACAATTAACTAGTAAATATGAGAGGCTTCTAGAGCGACTAGATGTGGCTAACATAGCTCAAAATTTCCATAACATAATACCTAAGGCGTTGCTCTACTCTCTCTACTCTTTTGATTATTTTTCATTCTCACCAGCAGCCAGCCCAGTCGATATTAAGATAAGCGGCCCCAATAGGATGCGTACCCAGCTGCAGCGTTTCTTGGGGCCCCTCATGGTCACTTCCTTGAGCTGGGCCATGTAGTCGGTGTTAATGGGTCGCAGGTCCCATATCAGCTTTTGGACATCGTTTTGCAAAATGCCTTCCAGCTCATGTTGTGGTATACATATGGGCTCGGGCTTCAGTTCGATGGGCACACGTACACTGTGGATCTGGGAGCGGCGCACTTTCTTGAATATGCACAGAATTGTTTGGTTATTCAGATATTCAGTTTGCGGCGCTAGAATGCACTGGATGCAAACGCGATGGCTATATTCCTTATCCCGCTCGAACTCAAAGTGATGCAGACTGATGCAGACCTCGCTGATGTTGTATGGGTCGATGAAGCCACAGTTCGGTATGGCATTGTATTGCCAAGGCGCATTCGTCAGTACCTTGAAGAGCAGCCGTTCCCCAGTTGGATTCAACAGTGTGATCAAACGTTTCTGCACGCGATCGTAAGGTGAATAAAAGATCATGTTCCTCGGACTAACACAAAAAAGATCGGAGTTGGATTTGTGCGCCATTTTCACTCGATTTTATATGGCCAAACTTTTTAACGAAAACTAATTTTACTATCGCTCAGTGAGCTGACTACATGCTTAATGTTCTTAATTTAGTTATTGAAATAGGCTTGGCAGCATTTTCATTGACAGGAATTTCTAGGAAAAGTAGTTATTTGGGTGTGAGTTGTCAAATGGATTTAAAAATAATCAACTGAAAATTTTTTAAAATGTTCGTAATTACAGCGCGGATATCGAGTTTATCATTAAAAATCGATCACTCATCCCGATCTTTTTTTATCGATAAAAAACCTTATCGAGGTCCCTAGGGGGTGGGTCCCTAGGGGGGGGTCCCTAGGGGGTGTCCCTAGGGGGGTCCCTAGGGGGGTCCCTAGGGGGGTCCCTAGGGGGTGTCCCTAGGGGGGTCCCTAGGGGGGGATCTTGGTATCAGTTCAAGTTAAGAGAACTGCAAGTGTAATATATAGCAGAAGAGCTGCAGAGATCCAAATGAATTCTATAAATATAACAATAACAGAATCCTTTTTATAGTTCTACAGCTTCTAACGCTACTTTCCTCCGTCTCCTATACATCCATAGCAAAATATTTTTGACCAATCGAAATCTGTGAATGTCGAGCAACCTTTGTTGAGTATTTTCGATGTGAATTATATGAATATGTTTACTGTCAGTCGGTTCGTTTAGCTGTCATCATGTCAAAATTGTTTGTAAATTTGTTTTCCCCAATCACATAAGTGGATTCCAGTTCGTCTGTACAGTTGCTAGCAACTGAGCAGAAGATGCGTATCCAAGAGTTGCACGCCTAAACGATCCCAGTCGCAGCATCGCCAAGTAACGTCATCCCAGGGCCAAACGATCCAGTTCATCAACAAGATGGCCAACAAGGAGTCACCAGCTGAGCTAAAGCGTATGCGACAACTGCTCCAGCAGTTCGACCAGTGCGACGATGGCAAGATTGAGTTGTCGCAGCTGGGCGACTGCCTACGAGTGCTGGGCGCCAATCCCAGCGAGAGGTGCGTACGACAACACATCCGACAGCTGCGTGCTGGCCATATCGAGCGCGTGCCCTTCGCCGAGGTCATGTCGATCCATGCGAGCATCGTCTCGTCGGCTCGGAAAGCAGCCAAGGAGAGCGGGCCAGGCACGATGGCCGAACAGCTCATATTGGGGCTGCGATTCTTCGATGAGCACAATACTGGCTTCATATCAGCGGCCAGGCTCGCACGAGTCCTGACCACATGTGGCGAGCGCCTGACCAAGGAGGAGATGAACGAGCTCTTGGTCGGTCACGTCAACGATCAGGGTTTGGTCAACTATGTCGAATTCGTTCATGCAATTACATCATCCAAATAAGCCTTGGCATTATTTTATGTATTAACTCATCCCACACAAATGCAATAGCCAGGAAATACAAATGAGCCGAGCTAACAAAAACTGAAGTTTCTAGCACAATTCGGTCACAGCAGCGCAGGTGTATTACTTACAGGTATTCAAGTAGGGTAAGGGTACATGAGCTGACCAAACAAGAGCAACAGGAAAATAATATTCAATAAAAAAAAGACAAATTTAAGTTAACAAATTGTATTTGATTTTATTTTCAATAGGTAAATAAGTAATGAAATATAGTTAGGTTATTCATTATGCATACATATGTCATATACTTGGTATAGCTCGAAGTCAGATGCCTATAACCAGTGATGAAAATGATTTACATACTTATATCCCAAAAAGATTTTCTATATGTAGCACTTTGAAATATATTAAAAAATAAATCTATTACACTTCACAATTTTATCAAATTATCTCTATTGTCTGTTCAATATTTATATTGTGGCTATTTAGTTATATTACTTTCAATACGAAAATATTTTTCTTAGCTTGGGCTAAAACTAAAGAATAAATCTACAGACAAAAAATTCTTTTGACAATTACTAATGGTGAAATATAGCGCTGTGAAAGTGAAAGATTTATTACACTTAAATTTCTGATACATCAATTTTGATTAAATTTCTTAAAATGAAAATGGTTTTATAAAAAATTTTAGCACTCTCTATATCAATTTACTTATATTTTGTTTATTTTTAAGCAATTTACAGTAAATCTGATTCTCAATCTGAATAAAATCTGATGTTGTAAGCCCGCCGGATATGAATTTTCCTCTAGTCAGTCGAATCAGAATAGCATAGCTCTTAGCCTTTTCGCATGTGATTTCATTTAGCTTTGCTTTTGGGTGTCTAGACACACATACATATGCATTTGTATGAGGACAGCCAAACTCTATAAGTACAGCCATGCATAATGCATTTTACGTGTACAAGAATTAATGAAAGTGAATAATAGCTGAAAATACTTGACAGTTTTGGATGAGCTGAGCTGAGCTACAAAAAGTTTTTTTACGCCGTTGCGGCTACAGAGTCTTTATATATGATACAGGCAACGACAGCACGAGTCGGATGAGCACATTGAGCAGACTTAATTAAAAGAAAATTTTGAGTTCATTGATAATTGATGAGCATTCATAATTAAAAGAGAGTGAGCCCTTCAAAGGGGTATAAACCCCTCACTAGTGTAGATTATTCTCTCTCACTCCCGCTCTCTCTCTCTTCCTCTCTCTCTCTCTCTCACTCTTCCTCTCTCTCTCTCTCTCGTGTAAAACACTCCACTTGCACAGGGAAATGTATTTAATATGAACAAGTGAAAACAATAACAATTTACAACGAATAAGCCATCTTCTAATCGCCCGGATTCTGAAGGACGACTATGAAATAGTTATCGGAAGGCATCAGTATCATCTCAAAATAGCTAGTGCGCATGCGCATAGATACGAATTCATTGGTAGCATCCAGATCCAATATCACCTGACGCGCCTTCTCCGTTAGCAAATGCATGTGACAAGCCAAGTGAACCGATTGCACGTTCTCCAATGTGGTCTTGATGGGAATGCCATCATAGTCGGCAATAACAATGCCAATGATGTTCTTAACGTTCTGAAAACGTTTTAGCATCTCCTCCACTTCTGCAGACATCTTGAAGCCGTTTACTGTCCCAAGCTAATCGCACAATTAATAAATTATATTCCAATAGTGCTGTACGCTGTGTGTATGTGTGTGATTATGTCTTTAGTCTACGACTGAACAATTTGTGTTGCCAACAATGATGAAAATTGAGAATTTATAGTTTACACAAATGCCTACTTTAATTTGATAAAATCGTGCGAGAATAAACAAAGGTTGATTTTATATATATATATACCTTAGTTTTTTTTTTTTTTTTTTTTTTAATTTATATATTTAGAGATTAACATAGAGTAAAGCCATTACAGAAGTCTTTGTCTTGGTAGAACTTGAAAAAAAAAAAAATAGTTTTTGACGATAAAATCTCACATTAGATTAAGCCAATTAGAAATAAAATACTAATTTGTCTCTTGTCTCTCTTAAAGACTAAAATGTCGTCAATTTTGTAGGCAGATCGACATCCAAGCAGACTTTATGTAGATATAAGAACAATAAATCAATATTATAAGAATGCAAATAGCCAACTCTGTTGGTGATTTATGTTGATACTTTATCATAGCTGTAAGTCCAGTTGCAATCTTATTTTGAACTAACAAAAACTTTATTTTGTAGTTTTGCAGAGCTTCAACTCTCTCCTCGCTCCCTCTCTCTCTCTCTCTTTCTCTGGGCAGCCCCGATGAACATTTTGATAGTTGAATAATGAAAACTGAAAAAGTTGTCCAAAAAGTAAGGAAAATTAATTGAATGTTGTTGACACTCGTTACACAGGCAACCCGAGTTGGCTACTTTCCATTCGAATTGCAGATGAATTGGCCAACGTCAAGTTTTATGCGGAAATTATGGCACACTTCCGGCCGGACAGCTGGACTGTGTCGGCTAGCCAAACAAACAGAAAGTGAGAAAGACAGTGCGAGAGAGACAGATAGAGAGAGAGGGAGAGCAAATAAACTGCAGTCTGATGTAAAATTTTGCACTTTCGAAAATTAATTAAAAGTCATAAAACTCATAATGAAATTACCCAGGCAGACTGAAAGAGCGAAGGACAGACAGTGGTTAGCGGCAGACGCCCCTGGCCAAACTGCGATAGTCCAGCAGCAGCAGCAGCAGCAGCAACAAGCCGTTGCAACAGTTGTCTTGCCACACGGACAGGCAGCAGCAACAGAGACTGTGAACTGAAACTTTGGACATGGGTCAACAAGGTGAAGCCGTTGTCGTTGTCGTTGACGTTGTTGCTACAAGTTCGTTACAAAATTAAATCAATGTTCAGCTCACAGATCCAAGTCATAAAATTGTGTAAAATTGATGGCAAATCACAAAATGCCATCTAACATCGCAAATAAATGGCTCTCTGGATGGCCTCGGGAATGGTCAGGGCGAAAACTCAAATTTGTATTTCATATTTGCATGCAACAGATTGTGAACTGGCAGCTCGTTAGCCATGATCCGGCTGGCAGGAGGTGTTTACGAGACTTCGTCTATTTGCAAATAGTATTTTTGTCTAGCTGGGCCAGCGTTTTGCATTTGTTTGTTTGAGCTGTGGCCATAACAAACTGTTGACAATTTACACATATTTGCCAACACTTTTTATGTGGTGCAAAGGTTTTTATTTGATTTACTGAATTCACAATAGATTTCAGCAAATAAAAGGCTAAGCTTGATTGTCGAATAGCCAACTCTGAGTATTGAGAGAGTAGAGATTGCAAGCTTATGCTTGCATAATTACTTGACTTCAATTATGTCCACTTGATTGCTTCATATTCCAATTAGTTTATTCCATTATCGTAAATATTTCTGTACATGCATATTTATTTTATACATAAATATTTTACATAGTTATTATATATTTACTTGACTTCAATTACTTGATTGCTTCATATTCTTTTATATTAGTTTAGGAATATTCCATTATCATAAATATTTCTACATATGCATCCATATTTATCTTGCCTCAGCTTAACTTTTCCCTACGTCTTTTCACATTCAAAGCATTTCTCTCTTTAGCCTGAAGTCCACAAATTAATTATGAATTCATTATTTTATATATAAATATTTGTATTTTTATTTTCAGGAAATATTACCTTTTGACCCAATGATTAATTGCAATTTAATTGAATTTTCTGTGTGGTTTCACACATATATAAATGCGTAAATGGAATTTAATTAGTCATACGGCAGCCGTGAAGGAGTTATTCAATTCACATAGCTAACGATAATTCAAGGCAACTTAATCCCATATAATTAACATAAAAATATGCCATACTTAGCATAACAATAAATGGGTAACTTATAGGTGCTATAAGATCAGAGGACAGGGTATCATTAGGTCGTGCATTGATGCCATTCATTCGACAATTATCAAAAATTCAATAATTAATTCAGTTATTTGCATTAACTGCAAACGTCCGCAAATATTTGATGAATGTGTGCCAAGTGTTAATGAAATGCCAGCTGACCGAGCCAGGCCAGGCCGGGTTGGTCCAGGCCAGGCCAACGTGCGCTTCAGTTGCCCGCTGCACAGACTGACAGCTGAATCGAATCGGCAAATTAGTAAGCAAAACTGTTGAATCGTTCGAGAATGCGCATATAATTGAGAGATTTGGGCTCCTGTGCATGAGATGTTAATGTTAATCTGATTTGCAATTTGCAATTAGTAGCAAAATATTTTGACTGCACAGAGCACATTACCAATTACGGGCACCTTTGTTTCGTTCTGGCTCTTCCCGACAGGTACATGGGGCTTGGCACGGGCAAAGTGTAGGCTTGTAATTTAATTTGGGGCAAAATTAAAATTATGATTGAGCGTGTGGGCGTAACACGTGCGTGCACGATTCGAATTGAATTTTAATTAATGTGTGTGTGTGTATGAGTGAGTGCGTGTGTGAGTGCTTGAAGTGTAGCCAAGCGCATATATAAACCAAGTCGTCTTAATGTGCTATCGACCAAGTTAAATGCAAAAATCTACTTAAATTCAAGCCCTTTGCCTGCTTTTGACTCTAGAGCCAAATGTCTGAGGATAAGAATTTGAAATTAAATATTATAGCATTGGCTTTATGCTAGCAGCAGGCCTGATAAATATCCCGTCAAATCCTTGTGTTTGAGTTTGCCTAAGCGAGGCTTAGCTACCAGTATATAAGAGTGTTTGCTTAAATGAGCAAGCTTAAATATCTCTACCTGCATCTGGAGTGTTTTAGTTGATTGGCCTAGGTGTGATATGTTTGCGTCTCTGTGGGTGGCTCCAACAATTTATATGCTGGGCGTGCAAAGCCTTGACATCACCTTTTTCAATCAAGCAAAGAGCAGCTAGCACCCGTGTCCTCCATCAACTGTCCTCCACCTCGACCTCATCGCCGACTCAATAAGCTGGCATTTTATTTGCATTTTTTTATTCGTCACTTGATGTCGTCTGCCTGGCTGGTTGCCCGAATTCCCAGCAGTCTGTGAATGAGTCCGCCCAGCCACAGCCACGCCCACGCCGCGTCGAGCTTGGCGAATATTTCGCGCGGCGCCGTTGACAAATTCATCATCGTCTAAGCACGCGTCTGTCAAGCGCGCTAAGGATACAATAAATGTCTTTCGTGGCCGTCCTGTGCCGCGACTCGCTCGACTGGCTGGTTGGGTGGCTATGTGGGTGGTTGGGTGGTTTGGCTGGCTGCTTGCTCTGTGGTTGAGACACCCGCTGAGTGAAATACTCTGTCGGATTAATATGCAACAACGTTTTGCAATTTTTTGTCTCCATTTTTATTTTATTTTACTTACGGTTGCTTTTTTTTTTTTTTTTTTTTTTTTTGCTTTCTTTGCTTTATTCATTTGCTTTTGGGCTTGCGCTCTTCTCCTGCAATTCAGCGCTCGGTCTCCTGCTCGGGCTCAGGTGCACTTTGCGATAACAAATTAAACAACTTTATGCAAGCAAAAAAACAAAAAAAAGAAACACAAAAAAATATATATAAATGCTTCGGGTTTTTTGCTTGCCCTGCAAACAGATGGAGGAGCAGCGCTCAACGAGTGGCACAGCAAACAGAATTAGTTAAAAGCGGGAAACTGTTCAGACCGGCTCAATTGATTGCAGATGGCTCTTGAGTCGTATTGCAAATTAAAGAGAATTTAAGTTATTGGAACTGCCTATTTATGCCAGAGTTTTTCATGCCTGCCACAAAATATATACATATATAGTACTTGGACACAATGTCCATGGATGATTGATGAGGATACTCAGTGCAGTAATTATATTATGACAAAACTCAATGTGGCCAAGTAATTAAATTATACTCTGAGGAGAGTTTTTTGAATGCTTTATGTATGTGTATGTGTAAAATTGAAATTAAATTATGTTTGCTTTGAAGATGTGGATTAGCTCAATCATATAGTCACCTATGCGGAATTAAGTGGTATTTTGTTTAGTGTATCAAAATGAAATAGAGAGGGAGAGGTAGAGAGAGAAAGAGTGAGAGTGAGAGAGAGAGGGACAGAGAGAGTGACCGAGAGAGCGACAACGAGAGACAGGGAGAGAATAAGAGACAAAACTTAAAGAAATATAATTTGATGGATATGGATATCGTGATAGAAAGGGAATGAGAATAAGAGAATGAGGTAAAAAGAGTGTGAGAGAAGGGGAGAGATAAAATCTGAACAAATGGTTGACGAGTGAGAGCGTAAAGGACATTGGGTTATTCCCATTCCAAATAATTACAGCATAGTTTCAAATTCGGCTTTAAAGCTTCGCTGGAAAGTGTTCCATATAATCTAAAGTAAAATCCAACAAGCTAGAGGAACTCATTTTTATTATTTTTGCAATGTCTAGCATAGCTTTGATTCAGTTTATTGAGGTAAAAACGTTTACAATTAATGGTATTGATGGCTAGTATTAGGATCAAAATATGCATCTATTGGTATGTATACACGTATCGCCTATGTATAGTATTCCCTCCCTGCTGCAATTGAAACTTCATTTAAGGCAATGGCTCGCACTCAATTGTGGCATATTTATTGACATGGTCCGGCCATTCGATGCGACTGATCCGCTTGAGCTCGTCGAATGCCTGTTTGGCCAGCCAGTGGAAGAGGGCGCTGTACCATTGAGTGTGTGTGGCCCAGATATATTTGGCGGCATCCTCGCTGTGATCGCTCGATGTGCGCACTCTGCAGTAGCGTGACCAGAGATAGACCATGCTGCGCATCTTGTATGTCCACAGATGATTCGGCATGTAACGTATCATATCCTGCAATCGGCCGATTTCTGAAAAGTTCAATTTCCCCAAGAACTTCACATTCATGATCTCGAATATGGTGCCCATTATTGACTGGTAGTTCGTCTTATTCAATTCCAAGGCCACGCTGGCCTGATTCAGCAGCCTCTTAACCGTCTGCGGTTTGTCATAGTTCATTACAATGTGCAGAAATGATTTGTCCATTAAATTAATACCTTTATACCGTTCGAGCTCTCTCTCGATGCCCGGCCCGCACCACTTGAAGTCATTCCACCAAACATCCCAATCCTTGTAGTTCTTATTCCGATATAGGACCAACCATTCGTTCCGCAAGTCTTGGCGAATGCGCTTGGCCGCAGTTCGATTTGGATGTGTGGGACAATCTGGAATCGGCTCAACTGGAGCTCTTGGTGAGCCCATTATCATTCCTCCCACTATGGGGCAGTATTGGCGTTTAAAGAACTTGATTGCATACGATTTGCTCTCTGGCTGCGGCAGAGCGAGGGTCTTCATTTGGATTCGCGGCAACTCAACGTCGCCAATTTTAAATATTTGTTTCGTCTCCTCCATAAAGCGTCGCTTAAGCCCATACTGTTCGCTGGGCGAATCCAAAGTGCGCTTACGATTATTGTGTTCACCGAAATTATTATTCCTATTATCAATTCTGATTTGGAGTTCAGGAAGCAGAGGTCTCGGCGCTGGAAAACCCATTGGATATTGATTTGAATTCATGTTCATATTATTCATATCTGCATAGTTTCTGTTGTCGAAATGCCAAGCATTTCGCTCAATATTATTTTGGAATTGTAGATTATTATAATTATTATAAAAGTTTCGATTTTGTTGTTGTTGTTGTTGTAGCTCACGTGCTTCGTTGTCTAAGTTGAAATTATTCATAGCCTCGGCATGTGCAGGCAACTGCTGACGATAATTGTTGTTGAAATAGCCAACATAGTCAAAATTATTATTGAAGTGCTGATTGTTATACCCTGTAAGCTGTCTGTCGTCTGGCAACATGTTGCGAGCATTTGCATCTATATTATAGGCCTCGGGAAAATGAATTCCATTATTCTGATAATTGTTTCCATCGTAGCGCTCGTCATTGGTGCTGCTGGCTATGAAGGCGCTAGGATGCGGCGCTTTATAATTCTCATTGACGTTGCGTGGATCCTCATTTATGTC